GCTATTAATGGCTGGTATTTGTTTTTGGAGGTTGTTCTGGACTGTTCTGGCAAATTGTGTGAGGACTACACCCAGCGGTTTGAGCCTTACCTCAAAGATCCCTCTGCCTACCCTAAAGTTCAGGTAGCTTACTTACATGGTTCCTGGAAACGCAGTCACCTGACTGATCGGTCATTTCTTGAACTTTTTTCCCCCTTTTCCAGATGCTAGTGAGCTTGCTGTATTCAGGACCATACTACATTTTGACTTTGTATGGGCTGTTGGTCCCAGGATGTCAGTGGATGCCAGATCTAACTCTTGTGCACTCAGGTGCTCTGGCTCAGGTAGGTAATACTGATCATTAGACAAACTTTATTGAGTTTCAATGCATACAGCTTTTTAACAGTGAATTAGCAGCTTAGCAGGGAAATTAACATTTCCATGTATAAAGTGCAGCAGTGACAAAAATGTAAACAGTGTAGGAGAAAAGGAAAAGCAGTTTGAAGACATGGTGCAAAAGAAATTGATATGGTAGATTCAGGGCAGTGCGAAACAAATAAGTATGGTGCAAAATGCAGCAGAACACTGAGTTGAGTTCTGTTTAAAGGGATTTAAAAATTTGCCATGTAGTGCAAATATGTTTACAAGTCTGATACAGTCTTGATATGTGACTCGATCAGAGTTTCAACAGTTCAACAGTCTTATGGCAGCGATGAAAAAGCTGTTGCAGAACCTTCTGGTCCTGCATCAAATGCTGCGATGCCTCTTCCCAGAGGGTGGCACGGAGAACAGTCCATGGTGGAGGTAGAATGGTGGTAGAATAGTCGCATTCTTAGCACCTAGGCTTTCGAATATTATTTAAAAATTCAAATACTTAGTTAACAATTAGCTGTACTCTCCACAACGATGACCTTTAAGGAAGAGTGATTGGAAAGAGCTTTGGACGAAAGGAGAACATGCAAAACCACTTTTAAAGTTGGCCCCGAGTAAAATAGAAAACACAGCAAATATTAGGAATGGAATTTAGCTAGATAAGGTCAGAATGGAACTTTTTGGACAATAAGCAAAGACTATATGTAGTGGAAATCTATCCGTGCACTTTGCCCTGATTACAGCATCCCTATTTCAGAAACATGTGGGCGATTAATCAACAGGAAAGCTGGGCCGCTCCTATCCCTGTCAACCTCATGACATGCACTCAGGCTAATCTTATTTGACATTAGATGTCTAATTCAGCGTCTTAATTTGTATAATGTTTCCTGTAAAGCCATACTAATCAGTCAAAAGACACATTTTAGTTCGTTAGAATAGTACCTGGAAACAAATTTATTGCATAGTTTGTGTGGAAATTGAGATGTGAAGTCTCTGTTCTGTTTTATAGCTTTTTTAGGGAGGTTGTGTTACATTTATTTTTGTTGAACTGATAGGAAATCCTGTCAAATAGCTGAAAAAGGTGTCTTATTTTATCTACCAGTCTGAAAGCGGTACAACTGTCCAACTATCATGGAACAAACTGTCCCTGTCTTCACTTAGCACCTTCAGGTTTTAGCTTTTAAAATGAACTTTTTGTTGCTGTTAGAGTATCAGTCTTATTTTAATTACACAGAGGCCTTTATGTTAAAGAGTTCTGTGAGAAAGCAAAATATTTTGACAAAGTGTCAGATAAAGGATGAACATACAGTAAAGTATTGGTTATTCTTTTATTTTCTCTAAAGTTTCAATTATTTGCTGTTTAGTGATCCCACCAGCTGCACTGTTGAAGTATGTTTATTGGGGGAATGAGCACAATAGAGACATGTTTTCTGATCTAAAATTGGAAAACTATGAAGATTGGCGGGAGCAGCTAGTACACCATCTCCTCTCTACCATACAAAGCAGCTATTGTGATTAAGCTCCAAGCTGGCATGTCTGTCATCAGTAGGACTAGGGCAGAAAGTGACTTCAGACCAAGAGGAATGGTGGTATTGCTAGTCCTCATTTAAATGTCAGCTGTTTAACTGGACTATAAATAGGATGGCTGATGGTCCAGAAGGCTCGCTTGCCAGGAAACGCGCCCATTTTCAGTAACTTAATTAAAACTTGATTAGGGGGGAGTTACTCTTGTTTCAACTTTTTTAAGGTATCTTAATGACTTAAATATATCCAGATGCAATGGCTTTTTAACATAAATTCAGTCAACTACATCATCAGTTTTCCAGTCCTGTTTGCATCGTCAACATGCCAATTAGAAGGCAGATCTTGTAAATGATCTTTTCAGAATGTCTGCTTTTGCATCAGTTCTCAGTGCTGTGTTGCATGTTACGATAAAGAATACCAGACACACTTCGAAATAATATCTACAAGGTGGTCCCCTTTGATCAGACGGTATCTCATTATATTTATATGTATGATAACACATTACTTAATGTTTATGTATTATGCATGCATTTTGAACTGGTGTCTCAGAAAACATCCCTTTGGGAGATCATGACACTTGATGCTTAATTTTGGTTCACAGACATGGATTTTAAAGGTTTGCACACCTTTACTAAAAGGTCAGGTGTTTGTTATGTAAAATTTGTTATATCCTGTGTTATATCCTGTCTAGTTCAACAGGAAAAAAAAAAAAACGTATGCATTAAAAGGTTAAGTTAAGAGAGCACCCTCATTTAACTCATATTTTATAGAAGCACCTTTTGATTTGGTTTCCATATTAAGTTTTCCAGCATATATTTAAATATTTTTAACTAAGCCAGACAGGTGTTGTGAACTATTCACAACTTAATCCATCTTGCACGAAACCTCATTTGCATCGGTAGAAAATGTATCCCAGATCATGATGCTGCCACCAATATCTTTTGGTTCCCTTCGACTATAGTATATAGTGCTGTGAATGAATGGATTTGATGGCGCTGCATTGAAGCACCTCAGAGCTCTTTGTCAACTATGACCCATCAAACTGGGTCATAGTTATTTAGGCATTGTTCCCAGGTGTAGAACTGAACATTGGGTGCAGCTTTACTTCAGTGTGTATCACCTCTTTAATAAAATCTGAGAAAACCTGAGAAGTACACCAAGTGATGACATCTTTGCCAACTGTGCAGTTTTGAAAAAGGCAAAACCATTTAGTTATCAGTTTATCTTCATTTTCTTTTTTACGTCTTTCTTGCATGTGTAAATTTAGTGTGATTCTTTTGAAAATGTTTGCCTGTATTGTAATAATCTTTTCTGACTTTTGTTATGTAAAAAGAAAGTTTGCCTCAGAAATACATTTATGATAAAATGTAAATATGAATGTGATAAGATTTTGAAGTACATCTTGTCATTCATCTCGGAAAGGGCATTCTGAATGAGAATTTGTTAAATAGCTGTCCAAACGTAAAAAAAAATATATATAAATATATATATTTTTTTGCAACAATCTATAAACCACAAAGAAAAAGATTGTGCCTTTCCATGTATAAGTGAGATAGATGTAAAACTCAAAACATCTTAAAATAACTATAGATAAAGTGTCATTATTTCTTAATTTGAGTAGGTAAATAAGATGATCTGGCAATGGAATGAGTATTTTAAAATGACATAATTAGCTTTTATACACTTGAATTAAAACAATGCAATTCGTTTTCTTATTTTAAACGGTCTTATTCCATTGGTAAATTGTCTCCCTTACCTGCTTCCCGGGTCCAACACATCTGAATTAAATGGCTCAATTACCACCTCAGTTGAAGTCAAGCTCTCAAGAGTCCAGCAAATGATTTAATTATTTTATTTAGATTAGTTTTAGCAGAAACACATCTAAAATGTGCAGGACACCAGTCCTGGAGGATCAGAATCCAAAATAAGTATCATAATATATTAAATCCATATGAATCGGTGCTGTCAGATGAACATGTCCTCTTTAAACCTTAACTTACTGTGAATATTTCTCACATTTCTTCCTTTTCTGCTTTTTACAGGCCCAGTTCTCTCATATTGGTGCGTCCCTTCATACACGGACACCGTTCTCTTACAGAGTGCCAGCTGACAGCCAGCCAATCTTTTTGCTTGTTAATGTTCTGTATGTTCTTGTGCCTCATGCTCTTTGCTATCGCTGCTGCACACAACCAGACTTCTTCCTCAAACCAAAGGGAGACAAAAAATCCCAATGACTTGGCACCTCTGGGATGCTTACACATACCACAGATGACAAGGATGCCTTAAAAAAAAGCTTTGTTTTTTGGATTGTCTCTGTTTTTTAACGCTTGCGTCCGGGAACTGGAATAGAGCCATGTCTTGTTGTTTAGGCAAGAAATGTGAATAAAAATGTGAACAAGATGAAGAAACTTATTCTGGTTTGTTAGTTAAAAACAACAGCTTTATGTTTACCGGTACTATTATCTTCTCAAAGTTTTTGCCAACAAAACCATTTAATTTTCGAGTCAGAAATTTGAATTATCATTGAAATAATTTGCGGTTATTGTAACTTGTAAGATGAGGTAAAAAAAAACAAAAAAACATTCATGTACAATTCTGAAAATATTTTATTCACAGCTCCTGTACTTGCAGATGGGTTCTTGGCAAATGTGTTCTAAACACCTAAAGTTCCAAAATGTTATATTTTTTTAGGAGTCCATGTATTTTTTTTCTAAATCAAACGTACAAACTGATATTGACAGCATTTGTCCTACAACTCCACAGGGACCTACTATACCCTTCATGTTTAAATTTAAGGTTATTTCATAAAATGGATAGAAAATATATATTTTCAAAAAATTATCTTGTTGTTTCTACATTCAAGCATCACTATTCAAAGTATGTTGCTATAATGAATGTACCCCCTTTCTTGAAATTATTAGACAGATTTTTTTTTTTTATGTGGACAAAAAAAAAAATTAATAAACACGTTTTGACGACAGTGTTTAATTTTGCCATGTGGTTCACACTCCTTACCAGCTGGTGGCGGTAATGCTCACCTAACGTTTTTGCCAACCGCCACAAACATTTCCACAAGAAGAAATTGATATTTTTTTTTTCTTTTTTTTTTTTACCGGAACCCGGAAGTACTTTAGCCTCTTCCTTCCATTTACTAGCATACAAGTACCCCTTTAGCTAGCACAGATTTCTAATTTTCGAAATTTCTGTTGATTGCACTAATTGAAATACAGCAGAAATGTTTATATTAGTAATATCTCCATAAAGACTCTTAGCGAAATCCTGGAGGGTATAAAATAAAGAGCTATAAGCTTTATTTAGTTATTCATTTAACTTGTTTGCTACCGTTAGCTGAGCTAACCGCAGCTAGCTTCAATGGCAGCTCCCAATATTATTGCCTCGACTCCTGCATTAAGGTTTGAAATCATCTTTTTATCATTTTAAAACAACTAGATGACGAAGTAAAAAAAACAAAAACATGAAGCATTTTTTTTATAAAACTGGTATTAAGATGCTAAGAAGCTTGCACAGTCTCTATCAATTGATTAGCTAAATTCTAAAGTAAACGATGAGTGTTTTCAACCAGATGTTATTGTTTTTTTACACTTAAGTCAAAAGCAGCGTAGATTGGCTCAGAGGAAGGAGAGAAGAAGACGGAAACGACAAGCTGTTGCTCAAGCCAGAAAATGTGGTACAAACTTTAATCATTTTTCCTGAGCAGTTTTCATTTCCGTGTTGCATTGATATTTAACTAAGGGATGGTGCTTTATGATAGAATTGGAAGCTGATATTGGAGAAGAAGAGGAAGAGAATGATGAAGACGAGGCTGTTGACGAGGAAAGGTAGGCATCCATCCCATTCTTTCAGCTACTGAAAACCCTAAATCACTCAATAACTTATTTATATTTTTTGTATTTAAGTCAGCGGCAACATGAAGAGTGGCTGGAAAGAGAGAGACTGGCTCAGGAAGAATTCAGGCAGAGGAGAGAGCGGGAGGAAGCTGCGAAGAAGAAGAAAGAGGAGGAGGAGGTAATCCCCTATAAATAAAAAACTAAAGATTTTCATTGATAAAGAACTGTGATGATGCAGCCTTGTCACTTTCCAACAGTTAAAACACAGATGCTAAAGTTTTGCTGTTGTTGTTTACAGCAAATGATAAAGGAGGAATGGGAAGCCCAGCAGAGGAGAGAAGAGGAGGAAAAGGAGCAGAGGCTGCAGGAGAAGCGAGACAGAGAGGTGAAACGGACTCCAGGAGGATAGAAACTAAAAGAAATATATCCTCTGCTGCTAATTATAGAAAACATTCAAGTTACATAAAAGGTTAAACAGATTTTATTACCTAATGATAATCAGATAAACCGTGATTTTGCTTCATGAGTGATGATTACATTTCCTTGACTTTGTTGGCACAAGCAACCATCCTATTCCTCAACTAAGATACACTCAATGAAAAAAAAAAACCTTACATCTTCAGCTTCCCATCAAGAATGTATCTTTTACCTTGTGTGGTACCTTTATATAAACGTGATCTATAAGTCTGTCAATATTTCATTTTTCTGTTTATATTTTGGGTGATTTGTTTGCCCATCAGGCCTTGGGAATGAACTCTTAACCCCCAATAACAGATATGGTGCAGCATGTTCTTATTTTTCACAAATGGTGTGTTTAAAACATTCGTAGGAGGCCGTCCAGAAGAGGTTGGATGAAGCTGAGAATCAGGTAAAAAACCAAAACAAAAGGTCACCCTAATATAGCAGAGCATCTGTAGGAGACTTACAAATGTATTATTTAAGCCATAACCAGCTTTTTATGCTAAAGACTCAAAGCTGAAATGTGTGCTTTGACTTTTTGATGGTAGAACAAGTGGAGTGTTGATACAGACACGTGTTTGTTGTTCTCTGTAGCTGGATAATGGAGGACCGTGGATGAATCCCGAGGCTCCTGTAGCACCGAGCTCAGGAACAGAGCGCAACATAGCCAACTGTCCTTTCTTCATTAAGACCGGAGCGTGCCGATTTGGAGACAGGTGCAGTTTGGGTTTCCTTCCTGCATTACAATGTGCAGTTTAAATTTAGAATATTGTCATTTCAGAGATGCATTTATAATTCAACTAAAGGAACCTCTTCATGATCTTTGTTTTGTTTTGTTTTTTATCTGTAAGTGCAGATGTTCCCGGAAACACGACTATCCGACTTCCAGCCCGACTCTGCTGATCCGAGGGATGTTTAAGACTTTCGGAATGGATGAATCCCGGCGGGATGATTATGACATGGATGCTTGTTTGGAGCACAGCGAGGAGGAGCTGCTGGAGTTGTTCACTGAATTTTATCACGACGTTCTGCCTGAGTTCAAGAATATCGGCAAAGTTGTGCAATTCAAGGTGAAAGGAGAGAAAGCTGTTTACTGAAATTTAATTTTATGATTTATCTCTTTTAATATTTGAGTTCCTATGTGTTTGTAACATCCTGCCCATTCTGCTCTTAGGTCTGCTGCAATCATGAACCACATCTGAGAGGGAATGTTTACGTACAGTTTGACACGTAAGTGACTAATTTCCTGACTTTTTACATAACAAGTTTACTGACTTTTTCTCATTTGGTCACATAATAACCAAAAAAGTAAATGTATGGTAGAGGTATTTTAATGGGATATACAGCACAGAGTATTGCATAATTGTGGAAGAAAAATCTGACATAGTTTTCAAATCTGGAAAGTGTGGAGTGCACCGAGTCAGTACTTCGTTCAACCACTTCTCGCTGCAGTTAAAGTATCCAGGCCTCTAGAATATTTCTCTCAAGGCTGTAGGTATCTCTACACGGAAATATGTCGCTCATGTTTCTTTGCCAAACAGCTTTAACTTCATGATAGGAAATGGAGAACATCTGTGAAAAGGAATTCTAGAGTCATGCAACAGATTTAAAATAGATTTGGCTCTGACTCTCAAGGCTGATATGTACTGCACCGATTTAGCGTCTGACCGCTGGTGTTTCTTTGCAACATTTCCTGCCAAGGTCTGATAAACCTGCAGTCTATCTAGTCAGCAATTTGACAGGAATAAATAAACAGGAGAAAATAAATCCTCTTTCCCACTGAAAATAGCAAGTTAATGCAGGTTATTGAAACATGGGTCGACCTGCTAACAAGCAGCATTTGGTTCTCTTCCCATTAGCAAAACAAATGTGGGTCTAACCTCCCACTGGCAAGCTGCATGGGTTTTGTCCTCCCACTGCTTGTGTCTGAGGATGCCATCAGGCTCGGTTAGTGTTGATGATGTCATCAGTGCGACAGAAATCAGGAATGTAAACAATGGAGAGCAACATGGAAGGGAGCCAGGTTGTAATAAGTTAGCTTTATTGTTTGATGCCATTGAATGAATGCCATTGAGTCAGTTTAAGAGAACTGAATTCTAGATTGTAGATACAAAGCTCATGCAGTGTGAATACATCTGGAACGGACTCCAACCGTTTTGACCTTTTTCCACCTGTCAGTGAGGAGCTGTGCAGCGAGGCCTTCATGAAGTTCAATGGGAGGTGGTATGCAGGTCGCCAGCTTCAGTGCGAGATGTGTCCTGTTACACGCTGGAAGAGTGCCATATGTGGTGAGTTTGCTCTTTAGGGAAAGACCAGCAACACACCTTTTAGAGGATTTTACTATTCAATTGTTTTCTGTTTTTTTTTTTTTCTCATTAGGGCTCTTTGACAGGCAGAAGTGCCCTAAAGGCAAAAACTGCAACTTTTTGCATGTATTTCGAAACCCGGGCAATGAATTCTGGGAAGCTGATAGAGACCTTCAGATCTCCCCCGACCGAAGTGCCAGGGGAAGCCGCAGAGACGAGTGGCATTCAGAGCGCTACGGAGAGCGATCGTGGAGGCAACGTCGGAGCAGCCGCAGCCCAGTGAGATCAGAGAGATCTCACAGGAGGTGGGAGGACGACAGAGAGAGGAGGACCTCTCACCAGCGTGGAGAAGGCACGTCTAAATCCCGACAAAGCGACAGGAGGACAGACAGACATCGGAGCAGGAGTAGAGAAAGGGAGAATAAATACAGAGATACGGGTTCTAGAAGAGACACGAGAGAGAGATCAAGAAGCACAAGTAGAGAAAAGAAAAGACGGAAACAAAGCAGAGAAAGAAGTCCTAAGGTAGAAGCCAAAAGTCTCTCTGATGGTACAAAAACCAACAGTCACAAACGCTCTAAAAAAAGCAAGAAGAGCAAAAAGAAACACAAAAAGAAAAGGCACCACTCTGACAAAACCCACTCCTCCACAGAGTCAGAAACCGAGAAAGAGTCAGAGGATAAGACTTGGGATAATTCTTCAATAGCCAGTCCCAGTGGAAACCTAAAAGAAGAGGAAACTGCTGAAGGGAATCATTTAAGCTCAGAGGTGAAAACTGAGGCCACTCCTGAAATCCAGAGTGAGCTGACGGCAAACGGGGACATTTGATCCTTATTCCTTCTTTTCTTCTATTCTGTTTGCTTCAGCATATGGAGCATAATACCATCTTACACTCTGAATGTTAAGATTAATTAAAAATGTTTACGTCTATTTTATATCAAAGTATTTCAGGTGCAGCCTTTCAACAAATTTAAACATAACTTGTACACATTTCAAAATAAATACTGTTTATGGATTCAATACCATTTAAGGTTCTTCAGTTGGAAACCAAAGGTTGTTTTTAAATACATTTATTGTTTAAGAAAAACCATTGGCAGTGTTGAATATTGAACAAGTTATTCAGCACAAATCAGAGATGGTTTTGCTCAATAATGGTCTTGATTGCAGAAAAAACAAACTGTATTGTCCAAGATCATCCATCTTGTTCATCTGCTTTTAAACTGAGTTAGGCTAATGGATACCTCTCATGCATCTGATTCTTTCACTTATCTAAAAAGCTCAGAAAATAAAATACAGTCTATGGAATTCCCTTTTTCTGTTATTCTGGCCTTTAGACACCATTAACAAGATTAAACACAGTGTTCTTTGGTCATAAGTTAGTCTGTCTAACAATGAACCAAACCTTTCATCAGTGGTTATATAACAGTGTTTCTAAGTCACTATTTTTGTCCTGAAGACTAGAGAAAGGAACAAATGCAGACTTATCACAAAAAATGTAACATTTCACTTGAAGACTTTCAGAGGAGAGCTAATTGCTACTCATGACGATATAGACAACAGAAGGAGGCTTGGCAAGATGCAGCAAACTCATAAACCACCAGGTTCAACAAATGTAAACTGTTTTGTTCTGCAAGAGTAATCAACACAAAAAGCAATACTGGCGCTCTAATCTAGCAATGTATAAAACATCCTGTAACAATAAGATCCTGTGAATTTTAACCTAAGTTCTCATGGTACAGAAATGCATTACTGTGCGCATTATAACCCTAAAAAAAAGTTGGCACAAAATAGAAAATATTGAAAGCAATCACCACTTCCTCACTGACAAAACATTTAAATCCAATAAATGCAATTTCCAACGATATTTGTTCCCAAGAATCCGCGCATACAGTTGAAGTTTTCACCATTTGTCCAAGTTCGCTCTACTTAAATACTCATTTAGATATTGTGAAAGCTAAAAATACTGTGACTTCTTATCAGTGAACAACTGTTCACTAATTGTGCACTAACAGATTCTGCAAGCATTGATAGCTGGAGTCTAAAAAAAAATGTTCTGGAGTGGTGAGATATGGTGCTACATTGGTTTAGTTTGGAGGTTTGAAGAAATTGATGCTAAATATTACAGGATATTGTAGAGACGCACCAAAACCACATATGGCACCGCATTAAATGGACCTTACAGTACAATACAATGATGCTGATTATATACATATAACACTGACACTACAGACAGGAAAAGACAAAAAGGATGTGATCATCTCAATGTGAAACCAAAGGCAGTTTCTATGTGAGCCCAATTTCTTCCAAGACGCTCCGTGGTGCTTCGGCTTCCTGCAGGAGAGAAATAAAACGTTTCATGCATTGGCTTTAGGTGGAATTAATAGCATTAAAGACGGCGGTCTGCACGGTCAGCTATGTAAACAATGGCCTGGCATGCTTTGCTATAAATACATCACTGAGTTGGGAATCTGTCAACTCCAAGTGGCTATACCTAGAGACCAGCACAAGCAGGCAGAGTGTGGAGTAGGAGGAGGTTTAATTTAATCGCTGCTGGCTTAGAATGAACAGGTGGCAGCAGATGCAGATGGATTCACATTGGAGAATGTAATGCATCACCATGCGAGAGCAGCCCTTCTGTTTGGTTCAAAGCCAGGTTTAATTATTTCGTTACAAACAAAAGTGAGTTCGCATATAAGATTTAAATACTATTGTGAGAAATATAAAGGTACTGATTAGAGGTTTGTGTATGTAAAGATCTAAAATCATAGTTAACATTTGATTTGTGGAGCATTTCATTAAAACACCAAAGTCTAGTTAAATATTGGTTTCCAGAACTAATCGGCCGAATCATCTCTTGCAGTGAATATCTGCTTTACTCTAAACAAGTTCTGCTCCATCACAAAAAATATAATATAAATAAAAATGGTCGCACCTCCTGCAGCAGGTCAGCCTGCTCAATGGCCTTCAGCACATTCTTTTTGGAGGTTTCCTGAGCTTCTCCACCCAGCAGGAACTCATCCAGAATAAAGTAGGCCTTCTCAAAGTTGAAGATGATATCCAGCTCACAAACCTGTGTGGGAATATCACCATTAATCACAAAAGTGATCCGTTTTTGTCACCGGCTTGTTTGTGTGACATTTCAGAGACTCACGCTGCCAAAATATTTGTCCAGTAGCTCCACATATCTGTGAATGATCTCCAGAGTGATCAACTCATTATCTTGATCCTCGACGGCACAACAGAAATACAGGCTGGCATATCTAAATAAAAAACATAGTTCAAAGAAGGGTTAAATAAACCATTATTTGTTTCCTCTGTGTTGAGATACAGTAAAGGTGTGAATGTTAGTTAAAGGCGTAATTTCTTATTCTATAAAAAAAAGCAGGGTTGTGTTTAAATGTTTATGTTTTTAACCACAAATCTCTGTTTTTAGTATTGTTTATGGCTAAGTAGTTCTGGGGCAAAAATAATTCAAAACAAATGAAAAACCGACATGATTGGGTTCTGTAAGTAGATGGTAGAGATGAACGCAATATTTTTACATAACATTTTTAACACTCACTTTTACTTAACTAATGGGCTGCAGAGTGGTAAAGCTGTTAGCGCTGTTTCCTTGCAAGCAGGAGCTCTAAGGGCTATATAAAGCCCTTCCAACAATCCAAATGCACTATTTATAAACCAGCAAATACGTTTGTGCTGGATTATAGCTAATTCATGTTAGTTTACTGGACCTTTATGCAATTCTCACAAATCCAGCTAAACTATTAATCTCGTTTTGAGGCTAATGACTGAAACTCTACAAATTAATATTCTGACACAATACAATAAAAATTTGACACTTGACTTTATGCCTCAGACCAGAATTTCCATGATTGTTTAAAGGTTTTAAGCTCTATTTACTTATATACTTTGCTCTGTTATTTAGGAGAGAGGTCTTCAACGTTTTTTGAGGCTAGGGACCCCAAACTGCTGGTGAGATGGAGCAATGACCCCCTAATTTTATATATATCGATCAAATTGTTATATTGAACTGATCCTATAGTCACTCTATTACAGATGAAGTAATGTAACAAAAGTAATTTCTCCCTGGGATTATTAAAGTATTTCTCATTCCTGGTTAATGGGACAGGTGTTGTGAATGAAACGGTGCCCAGCTTGAAAGAGCTCCTGTGTGTCGCAGAATGTGTGCATTGATGACCGAAAGACATCTTCTGCCTCCATTTATCTGTTTACTACAGTGTGTTGAATTCATGTTAATGTGGATTTAAAGACATTTCAATTAATGGAAAGAATTTGAGGGGGGAATATAAAAAAAAAAGTCTAATCAAGCAAAACGTTCGTGACCCCCATGCAGTACCTCTGTGGACCCCCTGTTGAAGACCTCCGATTTAGGATAATAAATCAGTTACTAAGTCTGAAGATTCAATTTTCTTCTCACTGGTAAAACTGAGAAAAAGTAAAACATCCCAGAATCTGGTTACTGGTGGTTACTTAGAGGCAGCCTAGTGGTTATGGCATAGAGCTTGGAATCCTGAGTTTTAACCCCATGACCAAAGACTGCCACTCTGGATCTCTGAGCAAGACCCTTCACCCCCAATTGCGCCCCGCAATGGCAGCCCACTAGCCTGATAAACCAGACTAAATGTGAGATTAAATGTGTAATTTAGTCTGGCCCCGATGAATGAGACATCGGAAGATTGTTGATGAGAAAAACCCGGTGTTTTTCAAACCGCTGTCTGTGCCTATTGGCCAGCGCTCTGACCAATGAGCGCAACTGACTGTGACGTAGGAAGCGCGACAGAAAGCTTATGGGGGAGTGTAAACAAACAGCCTGTCAGTAAAACGGCGAATACGTCCTTCTTAAAAATGAATGAGTGTAAATCCTCTTCCTGCACACGTTTAAACGAAAACCCCAAATCCAAAACTGATTCCAAAGCTGAGTCAAAAATCGCCATCAGAGCCAGCGGTCCTTCAGACACGACTCTGCCGAGAGAGGGACGCTGCAGACGGGTGCTGTTAGCCTCGGAGGTCCGCTGGTTGCCGTGGTCCTCTAAACTTCTGAAATAGTTTTTATAATTACACATTAAATCGGTAAATGAGCATATAGTGATGCTTTAAAGTATAATATTCTCACCTAAAATGATCTTAAAACAACAGCAACAGAAAAGAGAAATTTTAACTTTTAATGGTGTGCTCTAATGAAAGCTGCTGCTGCCACAGTGCATGCTACTGTTGTGCTTTCTCCAGTGTCACACAGCTTTGTCATCACGCCCTCAAAACCCAGCCCACTTTGCATCCAGAAATTCAAAACATCTCTGCATTGTGATTGGTCCGCCAGTTCTAGGGCCTAGGGCATTGATCGAGGCAAGACCAAACTTGCGGGTGGGGCTATTTTACCAGGCCAGCAGCCCACTGCTCCCCAAGTGGTTGGGTTAAATGCAGAGGTTAATTTCTCCAATGTGAGATCAATACAGTTAAATGATATTTTACCCCACACTATAAGTCTATTTGGGCAAAATGATGCACAGCAAAATTATTATTTTTTTGCTCCATCATCTACCTTTTGTACACAATCTTGAGGTCCCTCCACTCCAGGAAACTGCACATCTTAGGCTTCCTGGCCAGTATGGTCTGGACCAGATCTCTGGAGATCTTCTTCCTCTCCTTGTCAGACAGAGGAACATACCATTTCTGAAGCCGCAGCTTCCCCTGCCGGCTGAACAGCAGCATGAACTGCATCTGGAAGATCCATGGGTGAGAGACATGGAGAGAAATGAAACTAAAAGGAGGATGTGGAAGTATTTTAGGAGGCTTAGGCATGGAAGTGAAGCAGATTAGAAATCAGTAAATTATATTTACTCTACAGAAACAAATAATACTAAAAGAAGATTTCATGCATTTAGTAAAAACTTAACAGGAAATGAAAAATGTAAACAATGCTAACACATTATAGTTTCATCAAATTTGGATCGTATCTTGTAAATCGCTCGCCTTAGGGGCGTTGGTGTTGAGTTTCATTAACTTACATCAGCTAATGTCGATTAAATGTCTGATTTTAACATCAACGCCACGTTACGTGACATTTGCGCCCCCTCCTGCGACGTTTATCTTGTTACAGTTAAAAAACAAGACAGATAGAAAACAACATTCATTACCATTTGATCGGGTTACTGACTTGACAGACTGGAACTTCAGCAACTTAAAGCTCAACACATAATCAAAACAAGGCGAGAAGGGCTGCTACGTGTCTATAGCTTAGCTTCCCGTCAGCCTGATGCTAAACTGCTTAGCGGATGCTGTTGACACAGCAGCTGCTCTGTGATTGGCTGAAAACACTCCCGGCTACGGAATCTGATTGGTTCTGAGGTTCCGTTATTTATGACGTTGATATGGGCCTGAGATAACAGCCACTCCTTCTTCTTGTTGTGTATGTTTGTAATTATTAATGTTCTATAATGTTCATGTATGATATATATATATTTTTTGCAATAAAAAAAAAAACAAACAAAAAAAAGATTCTTCTTGGGGTGCTTTTTTGTATCTGCATTGTGAATATGTATCAATGAAAATAAAAAACAAAAAAATATATTCTTGAGGTTGGAAATGCTCATTCATTCACTGTGACTTCTTGGAGAAATGTTGTTATATTCAGGCTCACATCCTTGCTAACTTTACCCTTGTGTACACGAATGATGTGCTATTTGGCTTCTGCAATGTCTGTGCTTCTGAAGGAAAAATTATATAATCAATCTTTTATCAATCCAAGCAAAATTTCATATCAATAAATGCACAATTTCTGCAAGGAAAAATTCTTTTAAACTCGTTTTGAATGATCATAAATGTCTTAAAGCTACAGTGTGTAATAATTACAGGGATATACAGTCAGAAATGTAATATATTATACATAACTATGTTATTTATCATCATCTACGAGCTCAGCCTCTTAACCTTAATATTTGCATTGCCTTAGAATTTGTTATTTCTAATTACATAGGAGCGGGTCTCGCAGCCATGGAGGCAGACATCTTTGCGCTACGGCAGCGCAGAGCCAACAAACTAGCGATTGCGAGATCGCCCATTACGCTCGAAAGTAACTACGGCAAGTTGAGAGAAATGAACTGAGACGGTACTGAAATCTATACCCTACACAGACTAATGAAATACTATCTGTAAAATTATCTATGTAAACAAACCTCATCACTTGAGAAGGTAGGTGATGCAAACGTCGTGAAAGACATTTTGTCCCGTAACGCTCGCCGTACTGTTGGGGGGGAGAAGCGGTGGGGGGGAGATGTTCATGTTGCTGCAGTCTGCAGTCTGGACGTTAGATGTCACTGAAAATTACACACTGTAGCTTTAACTATATTACCCATTAACTGTTCTCCTGTAATTTTTGTATTCCTGTATATCATTTCCTGTATTTTTGTCTGCTTCTCTTCTTTTCTGTTCACTGTTGTATGTTTTTGCTTTTGCAATATGAACATGATGTAAGATAAAAAAAATAAAAAAAACTTCTTGAGGTTGCGTAAGGTTAACCATTTACTTGATTCCTTGAACCCCAGTCGGCCTCAGCAGATGGCCGCTCACGCTGAGCCTGGTTCTGCTGGAGGTTTCTTCCAGTTAAAAGGGAGTTTTTCCTCTCAACTGTCGCTACAAGCATGCTTAGTGTGAGGGAATGAGTTGATGCAATCAACTGGTTTTCATTAGATAGAAAACTTTGAATCAATTTGACTGTATGATCTGGTTAACTGTAAAGTGCCTTGAGATGACGTGTGTTGTGACATGGTGATATATATAAATAAACTGAATTGAATTGAATTGATTTTGCTTTTCTTTGATCAGCTACAGGGAAATGTATCCAAATGGAAAGGTAATTATGCAGTACCATAAATGTACTTTACACTAACTTTTAGAAATAGACTAGTGAATACAAAGCTCTATAATAATTTCGAAATTTCAATTCAATTGAGTTTATTTATATAGTGCCAATTTACGACATGTCATCTCAAGATGCTTTACAGTTCACCAGATTATACAGTCAAATTGATTAAACGTTTTCTATCTTAAACCAGTTGATTGCATCGACTTATCATCTCAAAGGCAATCCCTCACACTAAGCATGCTTGTAGCGACAGTGGAGAGGAAAAATTTCCAATGTGCAATTCCAACAGGTAATCTAGATTCAGAAATATTCTAAATTAGTTCAGTAACTGTTATTAGGGCACCAGTGTAAACAATTTAAAGTAATATTTTAAAATAAGGGATGCTAGAGGAACTTTACATTTCTTCTGGCCTGGAAAGGCACTGGGTTACATCTTTCTTGCTGGAGCTGCTATGGCATATTATTTGGTTTTAATATCAACACAAAACTTTCTAAATGCAGCTGAGTGAAAAAGACAAAACTCTCGATTTACCAGTTGGTCTATGTTCCTACCCTCACCTATGGTCATGAAAGCTAGATCATGGCTGAAACAACAAGTCCGTTGAAGCGGCTGAAATGAGCTTTCTCCGCAGAGTGGCTGGGCCGTTAGATATAGGGTGAGGAGCTTGGTCATTCGGGAGAGGTGTGATTAGATCAGCTTCCACATGAAGAGGAGTCAGTTTTGGTGCCTCAGATATCTTTTTCTGATGCCCCCATGACGTCTCCCTCTGGAGGTTTTCCAGGGATGTCCCAGTCGACGACCCAGGACTCGATGGAGGAATTATGTCTCTCGGCTGGCCTGGGAGCGGCTCGGCTTCCCCCTGAACAGCTAAAGGGAGTGTCTGTGGAGATGGAAGTCTGGGGGTCTTTGTCGAGACAGCTTCCCCTGAGACCCCATCCTTGATAAAGCAGGAGACAACGAGTACGAGTTTCAATTAAGTATTGATAAAGTATCATAAAGTAAAGTCTATCGTAATTTTTATATTTTATTCGATTGCTATTCCTTTTAATGTTTATTTTTTCAGACTTGAAATTAGTGGTGAAAAAATAATGCATAAATTGATCTTACGAAAACTAAACAGAGATCTTTTGGTAGGAGGGAGTGGTGACCTAGTGGTCAGGGCATTCGCTTTGGTCCCAGAGGTTCTGAGTTCAAACCCCACTCCCGCAGACTGCCACTCTGGGTTCCTGAGCAAAGACCCTTAACTCCACACTGCTCCCCGGGTGCCCCACAATGGCAGCCCACTGCTCCCCAAGGGGATGGGTTAATTACTGAGAGTTTATTTTGTTTCTTTGTACTCGTGGCAGTGTAATGACAAAAAAAGAAAAAAAGTTGAGTAAATAAAAACAAAACAGGAAACCCCAATCTCTGTAGAATTTGGTACACATACACACCAGCTATGGCTATTTATATCAATAGATTTGCAAAGGTCAGATCCATCCAATAGCCTGTAATTATATAGTATCTGCAAAGGGAAAGATCTGTTTACATCTTCAAGCATCCTCTAGATGATTCTTTCCTGACAAGAGATCGCTCAGAAAAAAAAAAAAAAATTACCTTAAGATTGGACACATATGAGTTTTTGTAAATGATTCCTCTGGCCAATCAGCAGCGCTAGACACAATCAACGCTACGAGATGAGCTCCCATGTTGAAATACCACCTATAAGTTGGGAGAAGATGACCTTCATTGGCCAGGTCAAGTGAACTGGAAGAACGTTTCACTTTATGGCCACAGGAAGATCCACAGGCCATGAGCCTGTGGAGAGCCTGCTCTACTATTTTTCCATCTCCTTGACTCCTGGTCATGGCCCAGGCAGGGAAAAAGTTTAAACCTTCTGAGGAGGCTAAAAAGAGAAAACGGGAAAGGGATCGTGCGCCAAGAAAAAAACAAGAGCTGATCTTGGAAAGGAATTTTTTTGTTGCCGCAGGCTGAAAGTAGAAGCTTGATGTAAATCTGTTTCTCTTTTCGCAACTTTATTATTAGACTCGTAAGTTAACACTCTGCTCCTAGTATATAGTCATATGTATTTGTTATTATTTTCAATGTTTAGTAGAAGCAAAATACAGGCAGTCACAGGTCTAGCGCACCTAGTGGCCGAAAGTTACACGTTGTGACTTTAAATAACACTTTCTGAAGTATATATATTAAATGACTATGAGACATGATGACAGACCAGAGAAATGGCTCCGGTTACAATGGCAGCAGTTGCATCCGGCTCACCTCGATAGGAAGGCAGCCCAGAATAATAGTTGAAGAAGCATTTAAACTGAATTTGGTACACATATACACTCACTGGCCACTTTATTAGGTACACCTGTCCAACTGCTCGTTAACACTTAATTTCTAAGCAGCCAATCACATGGCGGCAACTCAGTGCATTTAGGC